AATAATACTTTGATAAAGTTATTGGCATTAAATAGCGAAATGTCAGTAAGAACAACAATACCGTTTTGTTTTTCATTTATTGAGAAATACAAAAACCTTTATTAAAGTGAACTATGACTGTCAGTTTTAGATGGTTAAGCAAATGTGTATAGTAATTAAATTTTTCGATCTATTAAAAACGGATATTTAGAAATTCTTGATGAAACAATAAACAAAGTCGAGTTCACTTTATTTTTAAAACTATTTGTGCAAAGTTCTACACTGATGATGAATCTGTATGTAAGGTGTCTACGAGGTTTTCAAGAATTTTTCGTTAACCTTCACTTCCTTTCCACAGTTGTGTTTTTCACCAGTAGTGATCTTCTCTTGTCACCTCAACGAATTTTATAGTGGGGTATGACTAGAAATTTTATTGTTTTACTCATGTGAGTAACGTCATTCAGTTCAACTGCTTTCAGTACTTACTGTTTGACTTTAGTAATAATAGCGGTATTTAGCTTAAAAGACTAGATAAATTAAATTCATTATTTTTACTAGTTGATCACGGATTGATATCAGTAAGAGAACCATTGAAAACAACCAGGGAGTACTGGACAGCTGTTACGTTAGCCTAGTTTGGAAATCATCGTCAGTACGCACCCACAACGAGGGTTAGAACCCAGGACCCGATTCAATGGATGAATGGTATACGAGCCTGCCTAGTAAGCAGGAGGTCCTGGGTTTTAACCCTGATGGTGGGTGCGTACTGACGATTAATCCCAAAGTGAGACTGAGAAAACAGCTGTCCAGTACTCCCGGTGGCTGGTTTTCAATGGTTCTCTAACTGATATCAATCAGTGATCAACTCGCAGAAACAAAACTTACCCTAACAAACCAACTATAGAAATTACATTCATTAGTTATTGGACAGATATGAGTGTCCCATATCTAGTGCTTAGTAGTGCCGACTTAAATCTGTCAGTCGATTAGCAATGTGATCATCAATCTATGAGACCTTCCACTATGGTGGATTTTCTTCGAATTCATATTTATCAAGATGGAGTTGCCTGAGGTGATTCATGTGGTTCACTAAGTTCGGTGTAGGGAGAGACACTCGTCGATGACACTGGCTGGTATTGTATATCTCGAATTTGCAGGAATTAGAATTGATGGACTATTGAATTTCATCCCACTTGCCAAATCATCACCAGAACCACCTTGTAACCTGGATGTCCTGGGTTCAACCCCTGGCGGTGGGATCATGGCCTAGTACTACTGAAGACTCACAAATAAGGACGAAGCAGCTGTCCAGTATTCTGTAGTCCTCTAATTGTAGTCAATTCGGGATCAAACTTGAGAATACTACATTCCAATGGTTAAATTCCTGATAAAAACATCAGAGATGTCTTCAGTTTGAGGTTTTTTATACGGTCTTCTTCAGATTTTCCCTCACAGATCCCCTAAAACGTCGTTTTTAATACAGATTTCTGTGAGGGACGTGTGTTGCACATGCCAAACCACCACCTTACCAAAAGAGTAATGCTGGCTGACATAGGATTAACTTGCAAAGTAGTCAGGGGTGGTCATATCAAAAACCCTTCATTATCACTAAAGGCATTTATCGGATAAAATTTGATCTCCTGTGTAGGTTAAAGGCAGCCGCCAATGAGAAATACTTTCACAGAGTTGTTCAGGCTGAAAGATTAACTCTTGCTAAGCTTCATTAACATGAAGTACTCAGTCTGTCTGTCAAATGACAGCAAAAGTTAGTGAGAAATTGGTTAAAGGTAGTAGTTATTTTTTCAGTTTTCCGTTCTGAAGTAAAAACTATGTAGATGCGTAATAACATACTATCTACGATTATTGATTTTCTTAAAACCAAGTCATGGGTAAAATTATGAAACCTTACCGTGTTTGACAGTTGTAGAGCTTTACTCACCTACCTACCCATTCATCCTTTTGTTTGTTTCTTTGTTTATTTTGTCTGAAAACACATTTCTGTATACGTGCTACCATGGTGAATATTTTTTTATGTACTTACAAATATCATCTTAAAAATTAGCTGCTAAAACCTTATCAGTAATTTAAACAGCTAAAATTTGGGCATTGGGTATATGATATACAAAATAGAATAAAGATTTTGTGTATTCCCCAATGAATGAAAAACAAAACTATATTATTGTCTTGTTTACTGACGTCTCACTTTTCATTAATGCTGCTACTAATAGCTTTATCAAAGTAGTATTATTAAACCGGAGCTTACAAAATCTCAGTTTATGTATAACAACTTAATCATTTTTCCCCAGATTGCTGTCATTTTTGAGTTGCCAAGTTGGCCAATTGGTAAAGATAACAAAACCATGTGTGTAGATTATTATTGGATTTGATAAGTGTGTAAAATTATAAAAACAGCATGTGTTTACATGATGAAATTGCTTATCACATTCGTGTTGATTTTATCACTTCATGGGGGAAGGGAGGGGTATTGTAACCAGGTCGAATTCTGTTTCAGTCCATCATTCCTTCCTATTCAGACAATTTGGATTCCATTTGGTGATATTAGACGTTCTTTGTGATTTCTGAGATTTTTCTGGATGATGATTTCAATATTGTCAAAATGAATTTTGTGGCCTGATTCCTTAGCGTGTAGACAAGCTATGACCGATGAGTTTTCAAGCTTTTCTAGTTCACAAGTGGATTTATTTCTCGGTGGTCGAACAGGTGCTCTACGGTGTTCATTTCTTTTGGTTTTGATTTCTCGAGAAGTTTTTCCGATATATATTGCATCACATTCCAAGCATTTTATTTTATAGACACAATTACATAGAGAATCTTTAGGGATTTGGTCTTTTATATGGACAAGGTTGTTTCGTAGTGTGTCTGACTTGAAACAACTTAAATCTTTGCACTGATGTGGTGTGATGATCTTAAGTCTAAATATTTGTTGAGGTGGATTTTCCTCCTGAATACAGATGTACTAAAATATCCATTTCCCCCCTCTTAACTAGGCAGTCTAGAAATGGTATTTCACCGACGTCTGATTCTGGTTCCGAAGTAAACTGGATTCTGGGAGACAGATTGTTAAGTTTATCCTAGAATGAACTGTGTATATCCCGTTTTAGCACTAAAAACGTATCATGAACATCTCTTAACGATATTTAAGGAGTGAGTATGCTAGGAAAGACGTTACATTTGAATCTATTCATAAAAAGGTTAGCGACTATTGGGGAAACTGGTGAACTTAAAAATCAGCTACTGAAACCTTATCAGAAATATAGACAGCTGAAAGTTGCTCATTATCGTCATAAAGTTCACGTTTTCTTATTTAGATATAACGCAGATTCACCAGTTAACCGTTTGAGAAGAAGTATGTATCACGAAAATCACATCTACGATCAAGTTGTGATATGAAATCCACCTGCAGACTGTATTAAATATGTGAACTCGTTAGTAAGCAGTCTAGAAGCTGTTATCCAGGAAGTCTACAGAAGGAAGTGAGGATGGACTGGACACCCGCTATGGGCACTTTTGAATAACGTTACATGGAAGAGATCGTGCGAAGAGGAAAAGGAGACTTGCGAGAAGTTGTGAAGCAACCTAAACAGAAGACCTCAGAAGACAGAATATAACTGAGACAGGCTGCCGGAACTCAGTGTTTAGTATCAAACCCGATAAACAAATAATAATAATAATCATAATATAATAAATAAGTTGATGGCTCGTATTCAAGATGAGTTGTAATCTCTGGTGAAAAAGTTAATAGTTAAAGAAATGGAATATATAGAATTTACTCAAAAATCTCAGCTTTTAACCAGTTGTGTGGTTGAAATGCTCAAATCTTTAAATATTCCCATTTATAATATTAGAACAAGATATATAAGCGAACAATATTGTTTTCAATTAGATCTTCTTCAGGCTTTACTCTAATTTACATAGATTTATACATAAAATTTTAACCAATGACGGTGATTTTGGGAATCAAATAATAATAATAATATGGTAAATGTTCTGAACGAAATTAATAACGATGATTATAATGATAACAAAACGTTGGAATTACTTATTATTTCAATATCGCTGAGATTTTACAAACATAATTTTTTACAAATGTCTACTTCTCACTCGGCGCCCAAATATTTTAGAACTATTCGGTCAAATCTTGACGACAGTTCATTTGAATAACAAAATATTGATAATAAAGTTTATGCAGGTGATAATATTAACAAAGATAGTATATGTATATAAGTGTGTAAATAAATTAGGTCAAATATTAAAAGGTGAAGCGGAACGATAATCAGAGTTTAAATAAATATTATAAAAGTACGAAGGAGGTGGAAAATAATAAAGGGTGGGAGGGTTTTGAATAGAATTCACCTAGGCCAAGGGAGAGACAAAGGTAGAACAAACTTCTTTTGTATGCAAAGACTAGGATTGTTCTCCCGAATTCCCATAGCTTCGGCTGGGTGTAAAAGATGGGTTCTGATTCCATTCGAAAGACTCGATGGAATACGATAGATAACTTTGAAAGCACTATTTTTGTCCACTTGGTGGCCGGTTTCAATCAAATGAGCCAAAATAGAACTTCGTATGGATTTTATTTGACCTTTTCCGAACCATGAAGGAAGATGCTCATTAATGCGTTTGTTAAGCTATTTAGTTGTTCGCCCTATATAGCGATAAAACGGACTTATACTGCCGCCATCCTTTGTTTGTCATTTTCCAGCCGACCAATTTTGATTGCTCAAGTGAAAGATAAGCTACCTAGCTGTGCCACTTCAATGTGTATCGATAAATTTAGTTGCTCCTGTGGAGAAGGCTATATAGGGCGAACAACCAGAAATGCTCAAGGGCATAGAAAACTAGTGGTGTATTCCACGTTTGTTGGTTGCAGAACTAACGCGATATGATACCATTTACTGAATTGTTGATACCTTATTATTCACTCTAAAACAATTTTTTCACAATGCCTTTTTAACTCTATTTATTTATTTATTTATCTATTTATTCATTGAATTTCACAGGAGATTGACTCAATCAAAAGTTGTCAAGATCAAATAAAAAATGTTATCAATCGAGCAACAGCTCAAATTGGGTAAGTTATTTTAGTCAGTCTACTTGTTATCTTTGTAGTATTTCATATTATGGCGAAATATGACTACTTATTATTGATATAAGTATAAAACTTGGGCACTGTGGTAGAGTATAACTAACTCCGTTGTGGATAAAAATTTTATTTTGATAAAATCACACAGTGTAGTGTTATACAGTAATATTTACTGGTGTGACCACGTTCCGAGCACAAATTATTGCCACTCATAATCATATCAAGGCACTACTCACACAACCATTTACTTCATTTATATACATGTTTTTATAGTAAAATAAATAAATAACTTGTAAGAATGTTATCATGTAAATTGAAATATATTTTAACACTATCTATTATCCTCTGATTTGACTGGTAATAATATCTTCCATATATCTGGTATTTGCGTTGACTTACTTCGATTGCATGTGTTGTGTTGGGTGTAGACTCTATGAACCAGGCAGGGTTCAGTAATAAATCTCTCTCTCCACCTTTCTATATTACTGTTTAGAATTTTAACTCTTTTCCACCCACCTTATTGTGTGGTTGTCTTTTAATGCACGCAGTGCAATTGCTGAGTTCCTTTTTTTTAATTACTTATCTTCTTGGGATCAGTCATTCTAACCTAAATTCTGATATTCTGCTAATCTCACTACTCCTGATCTACTAGTTTGACATATGTAGTAGTTGACTTAACTCACAGTCATTGCAAGGTATTTTGTGAATTATATTAGTTTGTCTAATTGGGTCCACCCGGTCTTTTAGCCTACAGAGCTTGTCCCTGAGTGAGTTTGTAGGCTTAAATTCCACCTAAATTCCTGCTTTATTAAGAATCCTACGTAGGGTCTCAGATGTCTCCTCCCTTCTTATATGGTATAACAGTAGATGTCTTATATTCTCTCTTATTTATGTTATCACTACTAGTTTCACCATTATTTTTATTTTGCTTCTGGCCTTTTCTGATCTTCCTGATGAATTTTACAGGATAGTTTTTTGATACCAACGCTTCTTCTCTCTGTTTCGTTTCATCATTTAGGTCTTTTCTTGTACTACTTAGTGCTGCTGCTCAGTTTGTTAGACCTTTGACTAAGCCTACTTTTACAGACAGCGGATGAAATGAATTAAAGTCTAAATATCTATTAGAATGAATTAGTTTTATTTTACAATCTAACATCACAGCTAATTCTCCTTGTTCATTTTCCGATTCAAATGTGAATTTTATTCCCTCTACTAGTGAGTTTATATGTGTCATGAAGCTAGAGATATGTTCTGTTTTTAAAACTGTGTGTGAAAGTGTCATCCACATATCTCCACCATATTTTTGGAGTAGGATTAAATGTCTTAAGAGCCATATTTTCCCAGCCATCATCCATAGAGATATCTGTTACGATAAGGGATATGGGTGATCCATCCCATTGCTACACCTTCTGTTTGTCTATATATTTTGCCCTGGAATTGAAAGGTAGTAGATGTGAGGCATAACTGAATTCTTAAAATAATTTTCTCATTGGGCAGCTTTGTCCTCTGACTAAGTTCGGGATCAGCTGTTAGTTCTCTTTTAACTGCTTCTACTCATTAGTAGAGTTTCGTTTTTCTTGAAATTTTAAGTTATGTTGAATTTACTCTGAAATGACACACTTTGCTTAACTACCTATCAACATTTTTCATTCTAACTGTTACGAGTATTTGTAAACTAAACACATTGGCTAATTCCTGCCATTTGACGGATCTAGTTGGCCTAAATCCTGAATTGTGATGTCGTTAACTTGAAACTGAACTCATCAATCAGTAGTGTGTAGCAAAATTTACTCAGTTAAGAAGATAAAATTGTTCAAACTAACACGTTTTTTTCCTTCACGTTCCCCAGTGGGACATAGGGCTTCAAGCTAGTAGCTTGAAGTTTCTGTAGCGGTGTTTATTTTACAGGATGGGGTTGGTAGCCTCACGCCCAACCTTCCCTCTTCACCAGCATTATATCTGGCTTAGCGAGGTAAAGGAGTGCGTCGGTGGCCGGGGATTGAATCCCGGATCATGTGCATGGTCGGCGACTGTCCTAACCGCTATGCCACCGACGCACAAAACTAACACGCGATTCTTATCAATTATTTTGATATATGTTTATTGGCATCTGACTAGCAAATGCTACTGGTTGATATGAGTGATATGCAAGTACTCCACTACTGATTTCAATCACCAAGTAGTATATACGTTTTTATGCAAATATGTTTGCTTTTCTGATTACCAACATTTATGGTATCAAGTAGATCACTAACTAATGTGCAAATTGTGAATTTCATTTATGGTAACAAACAACACACCAGTTCGCCAGAGGAGCTACTCAGAAATCGGTTGGTTTAAACTGATTATGCTCTAAGAGATGAGGCGAACCGGTGCTAAACGTGTGAAACATCCGTCGGGTGTTTAAATCACCTCGTTCTGACGAGCAAACACTACTAGTTGATATGAATTGTGTGCAGTTACTCATTTCGGTATATAAGTAGTATGTGGTTTTATGGAAATATACTTATTAAGATTGAGATCGACAATGCCGAAAAAATACATTACACTGATCAAGGCCCTCACTCTACTGGAACTCATGCAGCCAGGTGAGGGCTTACGGTGAATTGTCATCTGAAGTGGTGACAATCAATGGTGTCCGTCAGAGGTCCTCATTGTCCCCATTTCTATTTAATTTCATTATAGATGTACTAATGGAATAATCTCGTTGACTCAGAATATGCAGACCCTCTAGGTGAGGACGCTGACAAAATGCAGAGTCTTCTGAACACCTTGAGCAGCAATCTGCGGAGGTTTGGCATGCGATTCGCTCCCGCCAAATGTAAGGTGATGCTACAGGACTGAACTGGACTACACTGACTCTTAGCTTAGAAATAGTAAGTGAATTGGTAGAGCGTGTTGACCACTTCACTTATTTGGGAAGTTGCATCAGCCCCAACTAGTGGATCGCTGCCGAAATCTCAGCACAGATACAAAAGGCTCGTTTCGCATATGCCAGTGTACGCCGGCTATCGACCAAAGGACGTGTGTACCGCTCAGCAGTTTGCTCAGTCCTCCTTTAAGGCTGGCTGTGAGACCTGGCCATTGAGAGTGGAAGATATGAAAAAGCTAGCTATCTTTGATCATAGGTGTCTGCGTTCTATCTCCCATGTGAAGTGGTATAATAGGGTAAGCAATATTGAGGTTAGGCATTGGTCGAGTGCTAGGTAAGGAGGGGAAATCGATTGATGAGTTTGTGAAGCTAGCCAGCCAGCCACGTAGGGAGGTGTAGACTACCTGCCTACCTGGTTGGGGTCCCCTGGATGTTATGAATCAATGACGGCTGGAGACAATCGGTAATATGGCTCAAAATCGTTCTCAATGGCTGGCGCAGATGCATCCACTCCTTATGACTTATAATACCCAATGAAACTATATTGTTCTTCGATATTACTATTGTTTTTTTGCATATCTCTGTTTACTTTCTCCATTTCGCATTCCTTTCTACTTTCTTCTCTTGATTTGATTGCATGGAGGGTTTCATCATGAGCTGACATCAGTTAGAGAACCACTGGAAAACCAGCTGGGAGTACTGGACAGCTGTTTTGTCCTAGTTTGGGACTCTTCAGCAGTACGCGCCCAACGGGATTCGAACCCAGGACCTTCTGGTTACAAGGCGAGCTCGTAGACCATTGAGCCACTGGGACCCGATCCAATGGTCCTTGAATTCTAACTTCTGCCAATTCACGACATAGCGCGACCATTTCGCAATGTCTTCTTCGTGAGTAACTGTCCTCATCTTTGACCTGCTGTACCCTACTGGTCACGGCTTCTCTTGATTTGTGTGCTACCTGAAGGGAGTGTGGCAACTGGAACTACTGCACATTGGTGCGAAGTAGTTCTATATTGAAATCAGTCAGTCAGTCAGTGTTAAGATTGAGTTCATTAAAGGGAATCATTTAAATGAAGGCGAACTCAGTTACTGTTCTAATCGGATCGTATTTATAAAAACAACACTTATATATAGCTAAGTAACAAACTATTAGAGAACCATCTTTAATACCTATGACAGTCAACTAGTATGAACAGAAAAATCAATGATCATAGATGAAATTTGATAACTGCATGTGCAGCATGCATGATGCAGCACAACAATTCAGTGCCATCACTGAAACCGGTTGGCATTATTTTGCCTACCTATTTCAAACAATGCATCAGTGGTACAGTGATAGAATGCTCACCGGGATCGATTACACGCCTACACACTCCTCAATCGCCTAGTTTACTGGGCAGCAGTATCAGTAGGAAGCCTAGTAAAGAGACGAGTTTAGACTCGAGGCTAATAACTCAACCCTGTAAATGGAGAACATCACCACTGCTGTCAAAACTTCAAAGCTTGAAACTACAGTCTTAAAGGAATTCATGTTCTGTCTGAGTCTGAATAGCTCATTGTTAACGTCTCTGACTACACCACTGAGGGATTCAGGTTCGAATCTTGGAGGCGACATGGATTCCTTCAAGACTCTATATATAGGCCTTGATGACAAGTCCTAATAAGCATGAAACCTACATCTAAGGCTTCCTGCTGATTGCCTCCGGTCATCTAACATTGAGGTTGATTTCGTCATAGATTGACATCAGTTTGTGAACTACCCAAAATCAGTAGGTACTGTACAACTGTAGGCCCATACACTTGTGTAACCCCAATCATACATAAATATTAACGGCATACAATAACTGTTTCCTCCAAGTTACATAAGACTTCGAATCAAATTATCCAATGTAACACCGTAGGATTTTTTATATATGGAAAACTGTACTGTCAGTAGTCCAGAATATGAATGATACCGCTGGTACAGAGAGCTATCTGGTGATTAATGTTCATTTTGAATTGAAAAAAGTGTGATCATCCAACTTTTCTTTTCAAAACAGTAATCCTTTAGGCCATAGGCTATACAAAATATGAATAAAATTCACATTTTACAGTCCAGAAAGTAGAAAAATGGATA